CTGAATTAGTGAAGGCCCATCAGAAACCTGCATATAATAATTTACATAATGCTGCGTGGCAGAGGAAATTCAGTTGTGAAGCACAAGATTTTATTGTTCTTGCAGCAACATGCTTTGATAGAAAGATGCTGAACTCTGATGGGTTGTGCACATTCTGGTCAGCAGGTCACTGGATCTCTTTGACTCCCTTTGTGGAAGAGATTGCTAGTTTAAGTAGGAAGAAAAATGTGCAGTTCTAAGTTTTGTCTCCTTTTTCAAAACAAGTGAGAGAGAGGTGGAGTGTCATTGGTCTCCTTTACACCTCTACTGATAGAACTAGAGCATAGAAACTTTGCTGAATTTTATATTGTGCTTCATTCAAAAGTACCTTGTGAATGTGTTTGTATTTTGTTCCATTAATTAAAAAAAAAATAGTGAGAGAGAGAGACACTTAAGTTGCACATTGTTTATATCTCTTGATGGAAGGCAATTCCTTCCATGGATGATGATGACAGAAATAAGTTGGCCACAGGGGTAATGGCACTGTGTCATCTGGGGGACAATGGTGCTGTAATTTCAGACCTTACTTTACCCTGTAATTGGCCTAGATGCTATGAATGCTGTGTGAAGCCTACTGGTTGCTATATGAGGACTGAGATTTGGGACTCGGTTCAATTCCCTGGTGCTGTCACTGAATTAACTTGTATATATCATGCATACACCTCAATCTTACCAACTAGTAAAATGAGATGTCATACTTCATGGAAAGCTGAATTTTAAATTCTGCTGCAAACTTCCAAGTTGCTCCACTTGGATGTTGCTCCACTATGGTAAAAAGAAAATTGTGCAGCATCTGTTTCAACTACGAAAAATAGCTGTTTCTAATCATTTAAATGAAAATATTGCTGGGCTTTAAGTGATGCACTTTTTACATTCAGTTGTTTTTACAGAGTCACCACACTTTCTCTCTTTATTATGCCGTAGATTTTGCGGTGCATAATTGCATCCTGGAAGGCTTTTGGGGCTTCCATTTGGGGTTTTTGGTGAAAAGGTTTTTTTGAGGCCAGAAGTTGTATATTTCTGCTGAAGGAGATCGATTGACAGTGAAGTAATATCAGGATTTAGACTTCTAAGCTTAATTTCATAATTAGCCTTTGGGATGACTAGCATTTGCCTTTCAGATAGGTACAAACTGAGGAAGCAAATGCTGCCTGAGTTTAGTTTTAGTTCACCTTTTCTTGGGTATCATTGCAACAGTGAAAGCCAGATACTCATTGCAGTTCAGTTTTTGATGAAGTTTTGTTGTGGAAGTGCAGACTGTGTTTTATACTTTCCTAATTATCTCCTTAAGGTTTTCACTATTAGAAAATAGAATGCGATTTAAAAAAACCAAACAAAAAAACTGTTCTGCAATCAGCATGCTGAGCACTGCTTTCCGTCTCAGGTAGATGTTACCTTTTAAAAATCAATCTGTTAATTTTGGGGTAGTGACTAATCATTAGCATAACTTGTTTATATGCTAAATTGTGGTTTTCTTTGCCTGTACTTGATGTTAAAAGTGTTGAATAACATGCTAATTAAACCACTTTAATGTATTTTTAAAAACTCTTAACTCATTTTCCCAGTATAGATAAAACCTAAATCTTGTATTAAATTTTAGACAATTCCTTCGAGGTCCTTTCATGAAAAAGTAGGGCAGTGTGATTTGAAAACGAATACACAGCTCATTATGGCTGCCTAATACCAACAGCCTGCACAAATCCTTTTTGTAAAAATAATTGAAAGGCTACTATGTGTTTATTATTTTATAGCGAAATGAAGTATACGTATATGGATATGTATGTGTTTATAATGATACCTTAGAAGAACACAAAAATGCATCTGGACCTTGATAACTTGGCTCTGTGTTTGAATGTGTTTGTCATGAATAGCTAACTCTGTTTGTGCCACCAAGTTGTATTCTGACATCAACTGTGAGCCAGGAGTAAATATTTGCAGACAAGTTAAAACTAAGTCTGGTCCATTAACTAGTACTTTCTTTTACTACTTACATAGAATAAAAGTTAATTTTACTTTTAAAATAGCTGCGTGTTGAATTTAAAAAGTAAGCTGTATGAAGGGGTGGACCGAGAAAAATTTTCTTGGCCGATACTGATAGCTGATGATTTAACAACCATATTGGCCGATGCTAATCTGATAACTGATATTTAGTAGTAGTGCAGGGCATTTTAGACAACTGACAGACCTTTTTGTTTGTTTGTTTTGCTTTTATTTCATGCACTCCTGCCTTCTCTGGCCCTTGATGAGGAAGGAAGTGACCACCTTACTCCCACTCACTTTGCCCCCTAGCTCACGGCTCCTGCCCGCAGCCCTGTTCCCCGGGCGGGTGAGGCAGACCCTTGTATAGACAGCAGCACTGTGTGTGTTTGGAACCCCAGAGCATGCCACTGCCTCAGTGCCTGTGGGCCATGCGCAGCTGAGTTCCTGTGGCCACCAGGGAGAAGCCACTTTTGCAAAGGCATTTGATGCCCAGTGGAGCAGAATGTCCCTGGTATGGCACCTTACCCTGCCTGTGCATAGCCCAACATCTCCACAGCAGCCCTGGCATTCGGGTTCCTGCTGCATGTGCAGCGTTGCCATGGCAGCAGCAGGAGGAGCTGGTAACAGTCCCTTTGCTGAGCATGGCACCCTGTAACCGCTTCCCAGTGCTGCGTCCCTCTCCTGCTACTTGCCGAGACCTATAGTCTTCTGTGGGTTTGGGCCAGTGGCAGGGAGTAGGGACCAGACTACACTTGCCAGAGTGCTCTGGGCACACAGCCGTAATTATCGGCTACAACGACCAAAAAACGCCGATAGCTGATAACGTCATTTCTCCTTTTATTGGTGCTGAGCTGATAGCCAACCGATATATTGGTGCGCCCCTAGCTGTGTAGATTAATGTTTTCTTTTCACACCTAAAAAATTTGACAGGTCAGTTGATGGGTATACAGTAATAACATAAGAGGATAGTTCTGTTGCTAACATGAGATAGTAATGAGGAACTGACTTCTAATCTTCCTTTAGTAGTTATAAAGTCAGACCATGTAGAGATACCCCTGCAAGCTGTGTTCACAAAATAAGCACTTTTCAATTGAGATATTTCTCTTAGTAGATTAAACTGTTTAAATTATGTTGCAGCTCCCTGAGTTTCATCTCAAAGTGGGATATTAAATATTTGATCAGCTAAACTTTTTAATTTGAAGTGTTAAGGGGTACATATTATATAATAGTGCCAAGAAAGCATAATATATAAAAATTCTGATGCACCCATTTCCTGTGTGGTAAATTCTTTAGGTAAATTTGGATGAATTTTTAGAGTTCCATAGTTGTCCCTAAATGGTAAAGAGTTTAGGAAAACCAAGCCTAGGGAATTTTTAAATTTTTGTGGAATTAGTCTTTCAATTGGCATTACTTTATTTTTACTCCCATTGGAACTAAACCGTTGAGTTAATTTTAATGACGTTTTTAGGGAATACACAAGATTATTCACCATTTCTAAATGAGTTTATTTATTCAGGAGACTAGTTTGACAACCCACCTTTATTTGTTAAATTGGTAAAAGCAACTTAGAGGCTATCTATTGGCATTTTTGGAGTATTTAGTCCTAATCTAAATTGCTTGGTTAATCAAATTTGATGCGAAACAGTATTTCCTCCTGTTTCTTTAGTTTAGTTGAAATTTTCATAAATACAGTCTATTTGAAACAGCAGGTTAACTTTTGAAGATTAATCCCATGGACAGACAATTGAAGCCTTACATCCATGGGTGCTTGGAAAAAAAACTATGCTCTTTTAAAGCCTTCAAGAGGAAGTGGAATATTTTGTAGATAAAGATGAGAGAGAAGTACACATAACATTATTTTAAATTGAGCATCTCTGATGAAAGCTGATGAGGTTTTGGACTCAAATATTATAATCTTCAGCATTAGTGAACTGAGATTTATCTAAACAAGCTTAATTTTGAAAAATGTATTGGACCATGTTCTTAAAGCTAAAGACGATACCAATTCAAGTCCATCTTTTTCTGGATTAGCAACAATTGCAACCACAGTTTTCCCTGAAAAATCTCACTTGATTTGCTCAACAGTAATAAACTTATTAACCAATAGAGTGCCTGCTAATAAAAAATGTGATCTTTGGAATTCGAAGAAATCCTTATAAGAAAAAAACTGTCAAGTTTTGCACAATGTAATCATTGTCAATGCATGCTACATGTATAAAGCATTGCCATTTTTAATGCCTGAAAGTGTGGCAAGTACTGTATCTACTCAATTCTAAGTTGAGCCCCATCCTCCCCTCAACATGGAAGGAGAAGCCCCTGTCTTAGAATTGATATCTGTAGAGGGGGGTGGGGAAGGTAGCCGGCTGCTGTGGCTTGGGCTCCAGCCTCTACCTGTGATTGAGGTCATAGCCACAGCTGCTGCCTTCCCCCCCCCCCCCTCATCTCTGCACTCTGCCATCTCCCCCACAGCAGCCTCCTCTCCCCATCTACCCCTGCTATGCAGCCTCTGTTCCCTGCCCTAACCCCACCCCATCCATGCTGCAGCCTGGGGCACTGAGCATAGTCTCAGCCCATCCCTGTAACTGCAGGGTGCAAACATCACAGGTGTGCCCCAGGCTAGAATGGGAACGGAGCCTGCTGGCATAGAGCAGAGCCTGGAAGTTAGGAGGGGGTAAGGGAGCAGAGGCTGAGGGGGAGGCAGAGGTGGTGGGGGTCAGACACAAGCTAGGATAACATTTCCATGTATAGAATCTAATTACTGGGGGGAGGGGTCATCTTAAGTCAGAGCCGGGCAATTGTTTTGGGCAGAGGGCTGCTTACTGAGTTTTGGCAAGCCATCGAGGGCCGCATGACAGGCAGCCAGGGGCAGGTTAATATTAATTTTCTAAATTTTTTAGGGACCCTACAGGCCAGATAGAATGTCCTGGTGGACCGCATCTGGCCTGCGGACCGCATCTGGCCTGCAGACCGTATTTTGCCCATCCCTGTCTTAAGTTCAGGGTCATCTTGCATTCAAGTAAATGTGGTAATTTGTGGTTAATATGTATTGATTTACCTATTGATAAAAGGCTACTATTCAGTGATCAGCTGTGCTGATCTCTCTTAATATAGCTAGCTCTACATTTTTTTCCCCTTACCTGATACTTGATAACAGTTTAAATCAGCAGTTCTCAACCTTTTTTCTTCTGGGACCCATTTGCCAAGATTGGCTTGTCCAGACTCAGAGTCCCCTGCCAGTGCCCATCACTTCCAATCCACAGCCCCCTGGTCCTGCTGGTGCCCCTCACTCCCAAGCCACAGCTTCTTGCTTTCCCCCACGCAGGCCATGCAGGTGCCCTCACTCCTGATCTGCAGTCCCCCGCCCCCCCAGCCCTGCTGGAGGGGGCTCCCTAGCTGCCCCTGTTCTGCTTGGGCTGGAGCATGAGCAGTGAGTGCATGCCCCTCCATGTATGGGTACCAACCCTCCAGATAGTCCCCTGGACTTCTTCCTCCTGCTCCCCATACACTTACCTGTGTCTGGCGCCTGGGGCAGCTCCCACGACCAAGCATCGCTGTATGCTGCCCGCATGTGTCTCTGCACACAGGTGCACATGGTCCCGCTGCCTCCAATTATTCTGACAAGGTTGTATCCTTTACTTAAATGAGCATTTCAGTAAGAATTTAAAAAAATTTCTAATGAACTAATTTGTAACAAGCTTGCTCCCTTGTCAGTATAGCAAGACAAGAAATTAGTGGTGCATTACTTATTAGTGTGACTAAAGAACAGAAGAAAACTAAGCAGTTAATTAAGAAAGCAACCCATCATCAGCTTGACTCAAGAAAACCAAATTATGGTCATTTAAACCAGCATTTCTCACATTCTCATTTAAGTAAAGGATACAACCTTGTCAATATTACAGTAGTTTTACTGAGTTTCACTGTGTTTGACATTTCAGAACCACTCATGAATTCTTGTTTGGTGCCCTTGCTGAGCTTGTGGATAATGCCAGGTATGTATATGAGTATTCGTACTAGGAGTTAATTACGTTGTTTTTATTAAGTCTGTCTATGGAAAGCACTTGCATGATTTTCACTTCTGGTTGATCTTAAGGAGAAAGTAGAAGCCTGTTTTATACTTCGATAGTGATGGTTTGTGTTCATAAGACATGAGGCCTTTATAGGAAGGCAGGAAAAACTTTTGTTAAAAACAGCGAGGCAGAGGAATAGACTGCTTAGAGAAGTTGTAGAATCTCCTTCATTGGAAATTTTCAAGAAGAGATTGGGTAAGCATTGGTCGGGGAAGAACTAGGAGTAGCTATGCATGGAGTGTCCTGTAAAGAGCAAGAGCAGTGGTTAGAAGCTCAGGGGCCCCTTATACATAGATCACTGGGAGATAAGAGCTCAGCCCAGAACAGGTGGATATTGGAGAGGACTATGCTTAGCAGCAGGAGAATGAAGCAGAGCTTCACAACCAGTCTAGTTGTGAAAGAAGGTAAAAGGGGCTAGGATAAGCTCATGGAGGCTTTAGAATTACAGAAAGGGGAGTTCTAGCTCTCCAGTTATGGGATGCAGTGTGTGGAATTGTTTGCTGTCCCTAGGTTGCAGAGCAGAATGGGGGGGTATTTGCTTTTTTTTCCTGTGCTTCTGGACTTTGCTGGTTGCTGGGAAGGAATTTTTACCCTCCTGTTACTACACGTGTCATGGTTGTTGTTTTTCTTCTTTTTTGCTTCCTCAGAAGCATTTGTTGTTGGCTGTAGCCAGCCATGGGGTTTTGACTGGGTTGTGCCAGTGTTCCTACTAGGACTGAAACTTGGAAATTCCTGATTGGAAGGTCTTTCCCTTCTAGTCAATGTCAGACTCATCACTTACATTTGGGATCAGGAAGGAATTTTACCCTGTGGTCAGACTGGTGTGACAGAGTGAGGGGTTTTTGCTTTCCTTTGTAGCAGGGGGGGCATGGTCCTCTTTGGATATCTCAAGTGTGTTGTAACAACACCTTGTGGTAACAGGACATTTATCAAATGCCCTCATTGCCCTTCTTTACCTGTGGCAGGTTTAGGGTTTCTTGGTGTTTTGGGGCAATGCATATTGTAGCAATGCCACAGGGTTGCTTGTGTGGTTTTTAGGAATAAGTTTGATAAGGACTTGTACAGGATGATTTGGATAGGAATGAATCTGCCTTGGACAGACGGTTGAACCAGATGACCTCCTGAGGTTATTTCCAGCTGTTCCTTTCTTTGATTCTGTGTTCCAGTCCTAAGGAACTGAAAATCTGAGCAGATAAAGAAATCTACATTTTATGGTCTGTTTTCTACTTTTTCAAAGAATTGGTCATAGCTAGTTTATTGAGGTGGTTCGGTATTTGTGTGCTTTGCAAAATTAAATTTTTAAGGTTGTTTTTGAAGAAAAGGTTGAACAGCTGGTGTGTTGGGTCATGGAAGGAATCCAGGTTTTGGAGGACTGCATGGAAAATAAGGGGAGTAGTTGAAGGGAAGGTGATAGAGGCCGGAGTGGTTAGAAATGAGAACAATTACAACACTGCCCATCTCCAATGGATGAGAAATTTGTACTTTTTAACAAAGGTGAGAAGTCCTCTATGGGAGGTTTCAGAGAGGAGTGCAGGTAAGGAAGAGGAATGTCGATACCATATCCTGACTGTTTTGGATGGAAAGGAGATGGAGCATAGGAAGACCATAAAAGAGGAGGATATTTTAGATCTGGGCTGATATAGAAGGCCTACACAAGCATTTTAATTGGAACAGGCAGAAGTTGAGGTGGCTGCCTTGATGACAATGGAAGAAAAGAGGAATAATAAATCACAGCAAGATTGTGTGCCTAGCTTACAAGAAAGAGGGTGATGAATTAACCGAAATAGAGGAAGAAGAGTTTAGAAGAAGGTTTGTGTTCCATTTTCATAGTGTTGCAGTGGGTGGGCATCCAAGGAGAAATGCCAGATGGATGAGGTCAGAGGAGAGGGATAGATTTATGATGATTCAGCATTAGAGCTTCCAGAGACCAAACAATTAATGGTTGTCTAGGGGTGACCGTGGTGTAAAAAAAGGATGAAATCAGAACAAATCACTGAGGGTCACAGATGAACAGAAGAGCAGCTGGAAGATTTGCAAGGCGTATATTCAACTCAAAATTTAAATTGTGGACAATGTCTTTAGAATATGTATTGTTTCTGTAGCAGAATCTCTTAAAGCATTTCAGGTTTAAATCACATCTATTGTCCAATGTGTTCTTGCCCAATACCTGAACTAATTACATGTTTTCTGTTTGGGTGTTAGAGTATGTTGAGAATTGAGGTTGAAGGCTGATAGCAGTGAAACCATGATGTTAATAATCTGGGGAGCTGATTAAAACAGGTTGCTATCGAGAAACAGATATGTTCTTCAGTTAGTCCTTTACCTTGTTTCCAGCTGTGGCTTATACAGATGATAAAAAAAAATAAATTAGCACATATGTTTAGTTAAGCTATAGCAATGTGAAAGTGATAATTCCAGCAGTATAAACTTCCTATGTAAAAATGGCTTCTTTTAGTCAACACATCTCTCTCTGCATATTCTTACTTGGTTTCTGTTTGCTTCTGTGTGGAAAGCTAGACTTCTGCCGTTATTGGCTGGCTTTGAAGGGGTAACAGAAGTGGGAGGTAAATTGTCTTTCGGCTCAAAATATATTCCACAGGATAGTTGAGTAAATTCTAGTCTCTAAACTCTTTACTGTTAATGATAAGGTACCCAGAAAGAACCTGCATCAAGTTGGCAGCACTAGCACCTAGAAATAAAACATAACTCTGTAAATAAATGGAGTCATTAAGAGATGCCTAGGGTGCTATAATACTACTTTCGCTTCTCAGAGTATAACAGCAGTTTATATCCACTGACTGATAAAACGTATATAGGTGATATTTTTGGTTTGGACTCTATGCATCTGGCTCATTGAAGAGGTGGTTTGCTTGAGGAAAAGGTATGTGAAATAACTAACGAGGTGTTGCCTGGGTTGCCCATCCTACTATGAAGGAGGGTGGGCTGAGTTGCAGCCTTTATGTAAGTCTTCTCATTGTAATCCTGTTCACTATCGCAGTCTTCAGTAAACTGAGCTGAAGCTTTGATTTGTGCTCATGACTCCTGTTGATGTTCCCAACTTATACATGCTGTCGCTCTTAGACTCTTTCTTCATTCGCCTTCAGATGGTAATTGTGTTTCTGTTATTTCATAGAGATGCTGATGCCACAAAGATAGATATTTATACTGGTAAGTCAGACTCTTGTCTTTTCTAGAATGGCAGCAACACTTATTAGCTAGTGACTGAGAAAGAAAGGGCTGGAAAATAAATATAGCAAGTTATGGACATAGAAACTAATAAGTAGGGGTCTACCCAAATCGAGGAGGCAGGCAGCCGATTTTGCGGGCAGATCATGGGGCCAGCCACCATTTTGACAGGCTTATTTTTAGCACATTTTTTTCCCTGTGAATTTTGTGGACATTGCCCGATTTCGTGATTTTTTCCATCAAATCACAGTTTGAGTAGATCCCTGCTGATAAGGACTTGCTGGATCTGTTACTGTTTAAGTGTCTTCTTAATAGTACCTTCAAATTTGTTGCATGTAATGTTCTTCTGAATCCAACAGGAGAGATGAAGTAAAGTGATCAGAGAAGTATTGCATTGATAGAGGATTCTACTAAATTCAGATTGAAGCCAGATTAATAATTCCTTATCAGTAATTTCAGACATGGCTTCTCTCTCTACTTTGTTTTAAATATTATTTTGCATGTGAGTTTTATCATCTTTATTTTGGTGCTGAACATGTGGGGGGGATCTTTTCATAATGGTAAAAGCTAACAAATCCATATGAACTTTGGGCTGTCCTGAGATCATAATGTTCTGTGTGCTGTGCTTTGGAGACTGATAATTGTATCCCATTTTGTGCAAATCTTATTTCTGGTGCCTGTTTGAATTTAATGGTTCTATTTATTCTTATCTTGTAGAAAAACGCGAAGATTTGCGAGGAAGATTCATGCTTTGTTTTTTGGATGATGGAGCAG